CTGACACGGTGTCATCAATCTTTGAATGCTGAAAAAGCACAGTGTATCCAGAAAAACACATATTATATAAATTATTATAAAATTTGTGTGCGCCTAACTTTTGTGCCGGTACGCCTAACTGCGTACCGGTGCGCCCATGGCAATAAGTTAGACTAGAGCCCTGCAGTGAGAGTGAGTGGATTTAAGAAAGTCAGTGACTCAGGTGTGTCGATTGGTTTGCCATCTGTTTTTGAGTCTGGATGAGATGTAGAAATCTTTTGTTTTAAGTCTTAGTTAGGAAGATTCCTGTTTTAAAACAAGCACTTTTTGTGGGAAATGCAAGAAGTACATTTGCAAAAAGCACACAGTTACATTCTGTCCATGATGTGGACAAAATTGAAAATGTTGAGCATTGAAAAACTGAGAACATCAGGCAAGTTCAACAGAAATGTGTTTGTAAGAACAAAAAACCTTTACCAAATTGTTCCTAAAAGTAGTTATGGAAAGTTAAACTGTTGTATGTCTGTGTTCTACATGTGTTAGGGGTGAACAAAAATAACTTTTTCCTTAACAACATGTTTATCTAATGGAAAATAAAGTTGCTATTGTTTTAGTGCAGTTTCTTTTGGATAATTCTGAGTGGATTTACACAGTATGGGTCAAAATGACCCGCAACAAAATCAATGCCATTTTTTTGTTTTTCAACATAATACAAGGGTTAATTTCCAAAACTTGCATATGATCTTCAATTTGTAGCAGATCCACTATCACACAGCAGCTGGAGCAGTTTCAAATGGAGGTCAGTCCACTGCTGCCACCATAGCCTACTACTACTAGATTAACTTGTGACACATCTGCACCTGCTGCTATGATCACATTGAGTAGAGGCTGAGTGGCTGCACTTACCCCTGGTACATCCAAATCTACCCACAAACATGTTGGAAGATGCAATGCCAGCAATGTGGATTGTCAACACTGAAAACAATCAGTAAGCAAAGACAACAGGGATCATTTGTTTCTGTTTATTTAGCACCCACAACATTTGTAGTCGCCTTCTGCACAGGGGAAGTCCACACACACTGTGTGGTACCACTTTCCACAGAAGGTACAATTTGCAAGATTGAATGAGATTGTCAGTCATTGTCTGGCTGTTTATTACTAATCACTGTGTAACTGCTGTACATTCACAGTAACTGCCATCTCCTTACAAATGTTTATTAGATTAACCACACTTATACAGACTGTATATAACAACCAACTCTAAAATGTTCGTTTGCAGAGAAAAGACACAGGTAGACTACGTTAACAACATGTGATGTTACAACACTAATGAAATATAAGTGTGTCATATATTTGTTCAAGACGTTTTTCTTATGGGCAAAAATATTAAAATCATGATAAACAGGGGGTGGTGATTTCTATGACTTTGTGTATATAATGTTCAATTTTGTACAAATATTGGCGAATAATAAATACATGATATCATTTCATTCATTTCAAAGGTTTATTTGCATGATGCACAAACAGACACAATTTAAAGGTACAAATGTGCATGAAACGAATTCAAACGTGGTGCAGATGTGTGTCACAAGATCTGGCTGTAGGCTGTGGCACTTGGCCAGAGGCGGCGCTGGTTGATTCGAGTCCATGTTAGTGCACAGAAAGTAAACTGCACGCTTTAGTTGTGAAGCAAAAACGGAGAAATTGGAGAAATAAAATGTAGGAGGGGAACGATAACGATGGCAAGAGTCTCCTGATTGTTTACTCTTGCTGTCCTGTGAACAGCATCGGCGTGGTGTTACTTGTTTGCTGTTTTCGCGATTGCGTCGCGCATGAGGATATCACCAGGTACACTCGCCACATTTTTAAACATTTTGTTGTTCAATGGCATCAAGACTGATGGAGTGTGTTTGAGACAACCTCACAAGTGTCACAGATGACACATTTGGCTGGAACACCGACGGCCGCCTCGGGTCTATCCTCCTCCTGCCTCCAATCTCCCTCATCCACCTGCTGGCCTCCACCACTTGCTAATTTTACTGAATCTGTGAAAGCTACGCCATAGCCACTACCAAACAATTGAGTTATTTTTACGCATCTGCCAGCATCTGGCCAATCCACCACCTTTCATTTTTTATACCGTACCAAAGAAATAAATAAATAAAAATCGGCCCATAAAAACGAAAAATTACCATCGGCCCACCGGGCATTTGCTATGCACCTCACTCATATTTATCAATACTTTCTCTCTTTGTTGTCATCGAGAGCAATTTACGCTTCCTCTTTTCACTCAAATCGCTTGCAGGCCTCATTATGAATGAACAATAAGCTATTGGCTAATTGCTAACTGCAACAACAACCCAGTATGAAAGCCAGGGGGGTTGGCACATAATTCGGATTGTGGACATTCTGGGCTCAGCCGAAAAGAGCCAGCGGATTTCGTAACACGGGCATTTTGCTGTATAACACAGGCAGAAATATTGCCGTTCAGTGCCTTTGTAACTTGAATTTTTCATTTAACGGGGTATTCATAAGTCAGGGTTCCACTGTATCTGCAACATCAGCAGCAGCAGTCAGAGGGACTGTGAGCTTGTGATGAGGTCTTACCTGGTGGAGCTGTACTCAGAGAGCCTCAGGTCACTCAGAGAGCTGCTGGAGTTTCCACACAGACCCTCCACAGATGAACCAGCAGGTCCTGCACAGGATCAGGACAGAATGAGTCAGATCAGCATCAATATTCAAACTGGATGAACACAGCAGCTCAATAAATAACAGCACAGTTTGGAGTTTACATTCCATTTATTAAACTTTTTATTTTCTGTACTTTCTAAGTGGATCTGTGCGGTGTCGCCATCAAAGAAGACAGAGATGTTGAGGTTGGAGAGCGACAGCTTGGCAGTGACTCCAGTTTGGTCCTTAGAGAGCTGCACACCATGAACCAGCTGAGATGAGCTGCTGAGGGTCAGTGTGGAGTCGTCCAGCTGCATCACAGCAGAGACAAAGTGGTGGAAACACTGAGTGAAACATGTCAAACACACAAACAGGCTGATTTCACAGCAACAACCACTGAGTCCAGCAGCTCTGAAAGAACTGCTTCTAACAGCCCTGAGAAGAAAGATGAGAGGAGACACAGCAGAGGATGAGGGAGGACTTTGGATCAGACTCCACTCTGACACATGAACTGTGGCTGTAGGTCGCTTACCTGAACTCTCCCACCTTGTTCCAGGTGAATGTCATGCCCGTCCACACGCAGCGTCACACTGTCCAAAAAGCTCACATCTTTACGATGGCGGTCCTCAAAGTTTCCCAGAACAAGGAAGTCTGGGAGTGACGGAGTCGAGAACAGAGAGTACGCACACCGATCCTGGATGGAGTTAATCTGGCCGTGGACGTCGATGATAGTGGGGCCGGTCACAGTGCAGGTGGAGGCCAACACACAGCTGATAAAGGCAGAAAATTCAACATTATTCAGTTTTATTTTTATAGCCCTAAATCACAACAACAGTCACTTAGACATAAACATCCTATGACCTTAGAATGAAAACCGCAACAATCATGTCACGTCCTATGTGCAACAACTTTGTCGACAGTTTGAAGGATATATGCTATCTTATCAGGAGGAAACCTGTCAGTCAATGAAGCTGGACTCTAAAGTGCGACCAATTTGGTCACATATGCGACTTAATTTCTCAATGCAATGATGCAACAAAAAAATAAATAAATTGCATCGGTGCGACCAGCCGTTCAGTCCCCCCCAAAAAGTCTCAGTAACTCTGAAAGTCGTGTGGTCAACAACAGATACACATTATGCCCATGTTGTGGTCTAAACCAATCACAGATAGTCAGGGGCGGGACCCTTTTGATTGCAGGCAGATAGACAGAGGTGAGTAGTAGTGCTGGGTTTCAATAACTTTCTAATTAAAATGGATTTCAGCTTGAATAAGGTGATATTTATTCATTAAATCCTGAATCAATTTTTAAATATCAATTATTTTGCCAGAAACTCACAAAACTGTTTCAACAACCACCAAACAGCTAAAACAGCAAATGAGAGTAGTAGTAGTAAACAGATTCTACAGAATGACGTAAACAAAGAGACACGATGGATCAGAATCTGTGAGCTGTCGGCTCTCTCTCCCGACAGCATGAACTTGGACATGCTGTCGAGGCTGAAAAAGCTCACAGATTCTGAGCTGCAGGATTTTTTACTCTCCAACCAAAATTCACCGAGTCAGCAGCAAAAGAATATCCAACCTGGTGTTCCCGTTTGATAAATATCGTCATTAATTCCCTATTACTGTTTAGCTTCCACCAAGATAAAATCACACTTCCAGCACAGCTCTCTCTCTCTCCCATTCATTTGCTTATTTCACACTATTGTGTACAAGTGCTGACAGCAACTGCTTTTTTTTTCAAAAATGACCTCTGACAAGAAAGCCTTATTTCTGCTGTTTAATACCGAAGAACGTTTTAAAAAGATGTCAAATTGTAAAATGCTCAGCAGTCTTTTTAATAAAACCCCTGTAACATTCACTTAATTTTATATGTTGAGTCATGTTTTTCTTCAGTTTTCGATCTACTGCAGAATATTTTTAAGGTTATCTGCTATAAAAATGCAGGCCAGGAAAATCTCCTTCATGTTTTTCTGTGTTTTATCCTCAGTTACTTTGACACAAAGGCATCTGCTGTGATGTTCACACCTCTGATGAAGTCTCACAAGTGTCAGCACTGATAAACGATCAGAATTATATTATTTCTGATTGTCTGAGGCTATAATTATAAATTGAATCGAATCCAGAAATAATTATATGCTGTGATAAATGCACCGTCCAAGTGTCCCCTCTCCTCACTGCCTTTCAGCAGCAGGCAGCAGCAAACAGGTCGTCAGAGGAGCCGAGATGATTATTCAGTTTAACATGATTATTCAGTTTAACATTGTCTACAATATTGCCAAAAAGTGCCAAAGTGCCAATATTGTCTGTATGGACAGCAATTAAAAAAAGTGAACATTTAAGCAATGCAATTGGGTGCAACTTTTATGCTGATTCAAACAACTTAGGCGCACCTGTGCAACCGTGGCAAAAAGTTAGTCTAGAGCCCTGTGAGAGGATCTGCTCTCTCTTTCTAGTCCCTGTTAGTACTCTTGCTGCAGCATTTTGGATCAGCTGAAGGCTTTTCAGCGAGTTTTTGGACATCCTGATAATAATGAATTACAGTCGTCCAGCCTGGAAGTAATAAATGCATGAACTAGTTTTTCAGCGTCACTCTGAGACAGGATATTTCTAATTTTAGAGATGTTGCGCAAATGGAAGAAAATACATGCTTACATATTTGTTTAATATGTAAGGACATATCCTGGTCATCAAAAAAAAAATCCAACCATGAACATCTTAATGAGCTGCTGTTGGGAGCTGCAGCCACCAGTGGGAGCTCTCATGTTTCAAGACATCTCAGAGAAAAACCTGATGGTGGCGCTACAGGAAACACCAGCCAGACAAACAGATTGATATGTGATTCATCAAATAATCCAGCTGTGAATCAGCAGCTGTGCATGAAGTGTGAGCATTGTATCAAACTCACTGTTCACTGAGCTCTTTGATCTGATCAGAGCTGCTGTTCAAAATGAGTTCAATCACTGCTGATGTAATACTAACACTCCCTGCTTTCTTTTAAATACAAAGAAGACATATTTACATGTTGTTGCCTTGACAACGCTCCAGTGGACCACAGCTGGAGGTGTGGAGGACTGAAGTCTCATTACAGGTGAGATTTAAGCAGGTTTCTGGATCAGAGCTGATCACTGTACCAGGTCGATACATCTGACCTGAGGATTGAAGGAATTCAAACACTCACAGATCACTGACTCGTTTAACAACTGTGAGCACAAACATCACCGTAAATAGTTACATTTTACAGAATCACAATTTTGAGTTTGGAGCTTTAGATTCACTTACCTGAGTGTCTGCATCCACTAAAACTGAAGTAATAAGGTCTATATGTATAAGTAGCATTCACTGTATCAACTGTGATTCCACCGACCTGAAGCTCAAACACCTGGACAGAAACAAACACAATCAATGTTACGACTACAAAGCAGAGACAACGATGTTTCTGTTAGAAAGTATTTCATGTAGTATTTAAACATCAACAGACGTGTAAAGTTGTTTATAAACACTCAGAGACTCACCAGTGGATCAGAGATGTAATTATACACGTACAGATATCGTTGTGTCCCATACATATAATGAACCAAACCAAACTGTAACGAGCAAACAGAAAAGTTTCAGACACTGTCAGGAAGTTTCTTCTAAAAGCTTTTACAAAAGTTTTTGATGTGATAAAACCTCAAATTTTATTTTTGCTTTGCAGTGTTTATAAAATTAATTTGTGGTAAAACAGTGAAAAGTGACACCAGTCAGATTTAACTGTGTGATACAGAAAAACACTCACATCATTGAAATGTATCGAGAAGAAGCAATTAACATAATAACGATATGAAGATATGTAAAAAAAAAAACTCTCTGCTCCCAGTGAACGCTGCACAAAACAGTCGCCTCCAGTTTCAGGACTGAAAAAGCCGTTGAAACAGACGGTAACATTTCCAGATGTTATGTTCACCTGTGGAAAATCAGAGACACAACGAGTCAAACATCAACATCTTTTGTGTTTTGAGTCATTTACAGCTGAACTGTTGGTGTCAGAGCTGCTCAGGTTTCAGTCAGAGCTCTCGCTCTGCTTCAGGAAGCTGCATCAGGTTCACATACTCAGCATCACTGCAGAGGACATTAATGAGACTCTGAGCTTAAAGCCAGCTGCCCTCTGAGGGCCTGAATCCGTGAACAGAGAGTGTGTGACCTTCATTCACTGCTGATGTTCACTCAGTCTGCAAACATGATCTCTGCCACAGGTGGAGAGTAAACAGCCACAGTGATGGAAACACAAAGATCTGCTAAAACATCAGGCTTCATCCTACTCACATAGAGCTTCTCGTACTGCTGTCCATAATACGTGATGGGACATGAGCTGATGTCCAACACTGAAGACTGATTGAATGTCTGAGCACCTGAAGACACAGAGACACATGAGAGCTGTGAGCTACAGTCTGTTAGCTGGTCGGACAAACAGGGAGAGCTGCAGGCTGAAAAACTGCCTTCATGAATGGATTAAACAGCGTTAACCAATCAGTGTAAAGCTTTACTGTGACATCATCACTTAGCTTTCTTGGAAACAAACATAACAGACCAGAGACTTTATGTCACGTATTCATAAATGGCATTTTGATAAGCAGATGATCATTATTCAACTTTAACTGTATTTATTGATTTCATGACTAATATGAAAACAAATGATGCTGTTTGTGATCCATTTGGTTTGTTGTTGTTTTCTGTGTAAATCTGAACGTGTTTTCTTTGATTGGAGGATGTTGAGGGTTGAAGATGCTTCTGGAGGAGCAGATTGTTGTTTGTTTTCTGTGAATTATTGTTTTTGTATATTTGGCTCTTTGTTTTACTTTATTGTTAAAGAATAATTAAAAATCTTGGAAAAAAAAGGATGAAAGTTTGCTGACGATGTCAGATTATTTGTACTTAAAGTTTTCTTCATCGTCACTCTCATGTTTTTGCAGTTGAGTATTGTGAGGACACAATGGTGTGTGTGTTTACCTGTCAGTGCAATGAGAGCACACAGGCAGAGCAGAGGGCGGAGCATGTTGGAGAGGGCCAATCAGCTGACAGAAACCTGTAACACAGTTCGTGTATCTTTAAAATTTTCTCTGAAAGTTTAATTTCACAAACATAAAGTTTGAAACCATCCAGAGAATACAACATGATCATGTGTTGTAAACCGGTTTGTATTAAGTTCACTTCACTTGTAGTTTATGGACTCATCAAACCCAACATTATTTATTTTATGACTCACAGAGTTCAGTATTTGCCTCGAGCATAAACATGAACATAAGCTGTGTTTCTGTGGAAAACCAACCTGTGCTGTTTGTGATTCTGCTGAAAACAAGAAGACAAAAATAAGTTATTGTAGTTTGAAGTGTTTAATGTGTCAAATTATACACAAACACAAACCCTGTCAGAGCAGTGATACAAAGACAAACTTATAGATGACATAATACATGATGGCTCTATATAACATCACACATTAACAACATCCAAAACACTTTATTCTGTAAAAACACAAAAACCCTCTGAGTGTTTTTGTGTCCACTGAGCAGTGCTGTCAGTGTCATGTGACGCTGTGTTCGGACTCTTTGTCAGCTTTGACGTGTTCACAGGTTTCTGTCACCAGGACCTGAGCAGCAGCTTTCTTCAGATAAGGTTAAATAAAAGTGGGCGTGTCTTCAGCCCGAGGCGTTCGGGGCTCCAGAATAAAAATAAATGTTTATTAAAGTAAAGATGTGTTCAGGCGTCACAGTTTATCTGGGCAGAAGTCACACTCACGTCTCTGACCAGACTACCCAATCATCACCAACCAATCACAGCACTGCATTCCTCCGACAGCACCTGTAAGCTGACAGTGTTGATTGGTCCAGGTCTGACAAACTGGTGTTTGCTAACCAGCTGAAGCTCATCAACGACGGACATGAGAAGCTTTATTAGAAAGAAAAGTGAGGGAGGGGCAGGAGGGCGAGTCGCCAGCTTGTTGGAAATTCACCAAATTATTCCAACAATGCAAAGCTGGCTTTACTTTATGTGTCAGTCAAAGTTTATTTATACAGCACGTTTAAAACAACCTGTTGACCAAAGTGCTGTAGAAGTTATACAAATATACACTGCATACAAACAGTCAGTAAATAAACAATAAATAATAAATCAGATAAAACAGGTAAATAAAAGTGTGAGTGCATAAAAAGCCAGGATATTGAGCTCAGCTCGAGCTGAAAGTAAGCGAGGTTCCTGACAGGAAACACTAACAGACCAACGGCACTGTCGTATCCATGCAACAGGTTGGGATGTTCAAATAAAAATGTTTCTGTTTTACTTTAGTTCAGTTTGAGGAAGTTTGTCTCCAACAATGATAAATTAGACAAACATTCAAATCTATTCTCTGTGGAGCTTTGTGCTCCAA